GACGAGATTGGACGGGACAGGAAAATACTACGGAAACGGGGCGGAGGCGGGGGAGGAGAGGAATTAGGGGCTGTGTGGATGTACGATCGCGTCATGTTGGGGCGGCTCTAACTTCCTTCGATACCCCCCTCCCCCTCACCCTTCCCCCTTCCCTCCCCCAGCGAGTACGTTGCGAGCGTACGCGACTGTGATGGCGGCATCCATCGCAAGTAAATGATGCCTAAATAAATACGCTGAGATCGTTGAGTGCATTCGATTTCAATCATTTGCGCACTTCGTGCAAAAATGTAAAGATGCATTTTAATGGCAGATCGACCGAAAGTATTGATCAGATATGAAATTATCTGCATATTGCAATAGTGATGCTTTTTAATACATGGCTCGTTAGCATTAACGAGTTATCTCGTACATATAAAATTCAAGACATTCCATGGGATTCAATGGGATTCTCTTATGTAAAATTCGTGAAAATTATCCGATACTTATATTGGTGATTGAATTGAATTTTCGTTTATCAATAATAATAATTTTTAGAAAAATACTATTTGTAATTTTTATTTTTTCTAAAGTCATAAATGCATTGCGCATGATGATATAGAGGATTTCTTATGGTTTTTCATCTGAAAAATAGGCAATTGTAAGTTTTGATTTAACAATTATGTAGGCGGTTATGCGTGCTTTCGAGGACCGAGGGATAAAATGTAAATATAAACTACGGGATAAATGCCACCATAAGTTCAGAATTCCATTGTAGTCGCGAATGTATGTTATAATTGTAATATGCATACATATGTAGGCATGGCGGTATAGAAGTAAAAATTTTAACAGTTTTGACTTCTGTACGCGACGAGACGATTCAACTTGAAATTGAATAAAGCAAAAGAATATTTTGTAATCGATTAAATAATAAGCTGCATTAAAGATAAATGGATTGTCAACTTAAAAATTATTCGATGGTTTTTCAATCGTTGTCCGCGTTGTGCTTTACTTTAAACATTTAATAGATTTCTAAAAGTAGCTGGTAAATCATTGGGATGATTAAACGATTGAAGAAATGGATGTTGGCATGGTATTTTAGCCTCCACGCGGCTCCTCTTAAATACGTGATTTCCATGACGTGTGAACATTAACTAAATTCTTCTTTTCCTAAAAACGACGTAAATGCTATTTCCATTGCGTCACAACGACCAGACGTTCCGCGCAACTTTGCTTCGGTACCTCTTCCCTCCATTACGGCCTGAGTTGCAAACAAAACATGCGGTTTCTTACTGCCTGCGCTTCTAAAGTGCCATCTATCCTAACAAAAAATAGTAACGTACAATTTTTCATAAACTTCCTTTTACGCTATAAAAATTTCACGGAATTTTTTAATAAAAAGAAATTTATGAAAAATTGACGGGTTACAATTTTACTGTTAAAATGGAGTACATTTTCTCGAAAGTGCTCCTTAGGCATTTAAAAGCTCTTCTTAAATTTTATTTGCATTTAAGGTGAGAAAATTGATCGGCAAATTTACTCAACTAATATCATGAAGCGCGAATACTGCAATTAGCTGATACAATTTATGCGTATCTGTGTTTATAACATTACACGTACTATATAATGTCTGATGCTCAAAGGCAGTGATTGGGGGGGGGGGGGGGCTTTTT